TGTGCCTAGAACAAGTGTGCTTCTGACTGAAAGCTCAAAGCTGCAAGAAGCAGAGTAAAGGAAACAAAATGAAGGGTAGATTATGGTCTGAAATTATTGGACTCGATATTGAGTCCACAGCTGAAAAGTGCTTAATTGAATGGAGGTGCAATTTCTGAAGCTTACATTGAGCCTCACTGCAACAGTGCGGTAGCCCAGAACAGGGGAATCAGCATATGAGCAATGTGGAGATTTAAAATAACAAGCCATTCAGATTCTCAGGATGATGCCTGTGAACAGAATACAAGTCTTCCACAGTACAGCCACCTAGTCTGCATTTGATCTTTCCAATTATAAGGTCTGAATGCAGTATACCAGATTTGAAGAAATAAATGTAAAAAGTTGTTTCACCTGGAAGGTGTGTTTGAAACAGTAAGGAAAGAGGAGGTAAAAGGAGAAGTGTTGCATACTCTGCACGTGAACTGAAAGGCGCTTTGGAAAGGGAATGGACTGTTGAGGATGGCTGGAGAGTGGACTGCAGTATCAATGAGGAAATAATCTCCTAACTTGCTGAGTTTTTTTCCAGCATTTTATTTTTAATTTGAAAAATCGATGTCTGTATTGTGATTATGTTACCGCACATAATATATTCCTTCTAATTTGCAACCTCTTACATTTTTGTTGTCACTTTTGTCTTCATCTATCTTCTCAAAGCTAGTATGGACATTCCACTCCAAACTCCTCTTTATTCCGCATAAATATTTTTCTTTTAAATGGGAGCAATGTTACTGAATCACTCTTGTTTGATATACCAGACAAATTAAAAGCAGGAATAGGTGATTCAGCACTCTCGCCTTCTCTGGCATTCAATAAGATCAAGGCAGATTTGATTGTGGCTTCAATTCCACAGTTCCCTCTACCCCAAAAACTATTGACTCCCTTGTTAGTCAAGATCTATCTACCCTTGCTTTAAAAGTATTCAATGACCCCACCTCCACCACTTCATGGGGAAGAGAGTTCTGAAAATTCTCAACAAATTCAGAGAAAATAAGAATCCAGCAGCCTGGAGGCTTTTCCTAAAATTCTCATTAAAAAGGAAAAAAAATACATTCAGCCCATTCGCAAGTAGAGATTTTAATGATAGTACACTGTGTAGCAGGACCTCAGAGAATAATTTCTGGAATCCATTTATTTGGGTTCAGACTCAATCTTTACAGATAGTGCCTCATTGAATTTGATTAAAATAACTCTGAATTATTCATGTGCTTCTAAATAAACCTTTGTATCTTTCATCTTTTATATGTTTTAAGTGTTTGTTAATTATGCCACCCTGCTCGAGACGTAATCTCTCACCTTTAATCTGAATAATGTGTTCATAGAATGAAATAATATTACAGGTGACTGGGCACACCATGACCAAAATGAACAAGGAAAACCAAGAGACACTAACAGTAAGTTTTAAGCTAACTCATTTTCTTAAGGAAGATGTAAAAATGCTTAAAGAGGCATAGGTCTTTTAAGCCTTCTTAAAAAAAATATTCATATGTGCAATGAAGTTCCGCTGCACTAAAAGGGAGAAATCTTTTGACCTGTCTAGTGGTGCATTTGGAGGCAGGAGGGGCATTTATTTAGGCAAAAAAAGTGGTACACCCCAGCGTTTTAATCTCCTTTGTCAGAATTCAGTTGGAGGTGAAAAAGACCATTGTCAACCTTCAGCCCACCACCAGTTTGAGGCTTGTAAGTGGCCAAAAAATGTCCACTTGAAAACTGTTTCCTGCTGCTGCTGGGGTTAAACCCCAAAGCACACAGCCCTGTCACCATGACAGGTAAATCATACATCCAGCTTGTTACTTTCATTGGGTTGCTGGTGGGGCTTGTGAGAGTGCTTGGGAGTCACCTCGCCCAGAAGCTCTCAGTGCCAGATTGAAGGACTGCACTTCAGGACAGGGGGATGTCCACAGAGAGGCAGCCCCTGCTGCACCCAACCGTCCCCCTCACTCCTCTCCCATGACTTCCATTCCCCAAAAACATCACCTCCCACCCTCTGCAACCAACCACATAACTTAGCCATGATCTGGGTCACACTATGATATTGGGACTCTAGTACCTGTCATTTTGGCAACAGCCACTGATGAGCAAGTAGCTCTCAGTAGGCACGACTTCTGTCCCCAAGGTCTTGATTTGGGGCAAGGCCAGCTCATGGCCTCTGCACTGCTAAGTGGGCCTTCCTGAGAAAAGGCAACACCGGTTACTTGCTGGTTCTCCAGCCAAGGCAAGACACCTTACATCTTCTGCAAGAATCCATCTAAAAGGTCCACAGATAAGTAATAGATTGAAAGAAATTGATGTAAAGGAATCAGTAGATTGAGAAGATGTGAATCTCAATCTTGCTTCCAAGTGAACATTTTATTTCAAAGGGAAGAATTAACATGATAAAGTGTTCCCCCCAACCAGCAACATTGATTAGAATGCTAGAAAAGGACTAAATATCAGTCCATTCTTGATGGCTATCCATGAACCTCTACTCTACTGGTATGCGAGTGTGTGCATATCTTAGTGAGAACTGCTGGGGCATGTATTGGATATTTCACCAACATACTTTGTATGTTCTGTTGCAAGAGGTATGGCAACTTGGGTAAATAATTATGGGCTTGTACATTTGTACCTCTGGAGGAGGCATTGCATTTAAAAGAAGGTAACAGCCAAGGAGAAAGATGTTAAAGCCTCATTAAAAAATGCTACTTTGGCTAAAACGCTAATAGAAAATGCATAGTTAACTAATCTATATTAGTTACCTTTAGTAGAAAAATTAGCCAGTCGGGTGGTCCAGCAGAATTTATTTTACTAATAACATACAGCTATTTGCCTTTTACACTGAGCAACTAGTGAAATATGCAAAGCAGAAGCTAAACGAAGTAATTTAGAAAAGGAACAATTTGTAAAACAGTTGAAGAATCACTTCTGTTAATCAAAATGTCAATCACATTGATTTAATATGCAACTAAATTGCAAACAAACTCACTTTTATGGTCAACATTTTCCAGCTTATCATTTTAATGAATACTGTGTACTTCTAAAATGCCATTGAAGAAGTAATATAAATATAAGTGAGCTCTGCTTATGCTTCAGTACTGAAGTATTTATTTTAATACTTTACTGTTGTTAGAACTGGATGTGCTTAAGTTTAATCACCTGACAATGGATAAGAAATTAATTGAGATTGGAAATTTGGGTGGAATCTACCAGCAGTGGAGAGGTTGTTGAAAGCAGGACTGGAACTCAGCGGCACTTCTGCAAGTTGGCAAATGGCTGGTCACACATGATTATGCAGTAACCAGACGATTAGATATTCCTGCATGAGGAGCACACTGAATCAAGTAGTGGGTGCAGATGTTCAATATGCACACCATTATGTTAAGGGGGTCAAATGTCTGCGGTGGGGGGTGGGGGGTGGGGAAAGCATACCTAAAGAGCACCCAGACAGCATTCATTCCCTGCGAGCCAGAAGCAGTATTCTTACTGCCTGAGAAAAGATTTTGGAAATTGCAACCACTGTTAATACTTGTCCATCTGCTGCCAAGATCCTTAGAGCTGCTGCCACCTAACATAAAAGTAGGAAACATCCTGAGCACAAAGTGTGGCCCCATAGTTTATGCAGCCTTCCCTTCTGTCTTCAGCACTTTTGACCATTGGGGTGCCCTCTACATATCGGCCACAACCTGTTTCCATCCAACTGCCAAACCTCAAAATTCCCACCATCATTTATTGTAAAGGGTGCTTCTTGTTGATGCAGCCATGTCCATAGACACTTACACAGTGACCCTGGAACAGGACATCATCACCGTGCACCCTTTTTTACTCACCTTTTGAGCTTCCCTGCACAGAGTGGAGTTTCGCTCTCCTTCCCACTCTTAGGGGGAGCAGCACGATGGCTCAGTGGTCAGCACTGCTGCATACCGTGCCAGGGACCTGGGTTCGATTCCAGCCCTGTCTGCATGGGTTTCCTCCCACAGTCCAAGGATGTGTAGGTTAGGTGGATTGGCCATGGGAAATGCAGGGTTACAGGGATAGGGCAGTGAGATGGGTCTGGGTGGGATGCTCTTCGGACTCAATGGGCCGAATGGTCTGCTTTCACACTGTCGGGATTCTATGATTATTCTCAATCTGCCATTCAACATCCTCAACTCTCTCTGTAACCTCTTTGACCTTCCCTCTGTTGCTTGCACAACTCAGGCCTTCAACGGTGACCTACTGTGTATAACACTTGATCTCCTCACAATCATGCTTGACCTCCCATCTGTAAACATTGACCTTCCCATCTAGTTCAACTTCTTCTTTCTGACCACATGAGATCTTGTAGGGCTCTCTCACTCATAGACTTAGACAGCCGTGATGCATTTCCCTCTGACTGCTGCCACCAGATCCAAATCATCAGCAAAGCTCCCAAATAAGAAGAAGCAGCTCCAGCTCAGTCCAAATCCACCAGAAAGCCACCACAACCACTGCAAGCCACAGGTAAGCGCTCTTGAATCTGGAGGCACATGGTTCTGCTATTTGCTTAAATTGAAAGGTCCCCTTAATTCTGGTAAAGGTCAGCTTTTAATGAGTGTGTATGACAAGCAACAGTATTAACAAGGGATTTGGAAGCTCAATCCACTGCCTCCAAATTCTGTAGTTCCATCTCACTATCAGAAGCTGACTTTTAGCCTCCTGGACAATTAAATGCTCCTGCCCACCTCATTTCCTGCTCCCTGGAGCATTTCCAGATTCTGCCTATAAGATATTTGTTAAGGAAATTATGCTAGGATGGAGCAAACACCTAGTAAGATGTCATAGAGTCATACAGCATTGAAATAGACTCTTCGGCCCAACCAGTCCATGCCGAACATAATTGATTATCCTAAGTATCTTTTGTTGGATCTGGCAATTTCTAAATTAGTGAGTTGAATTTGATAACTGAATTCAATCTAATGAGTTTCACACAAAACTAGGAGGGGAATTAAAGAATGACTTGGATAAAGCATACAAATGGATGCACAGTAATAGACATGAGCATAAAGTTCTGCATGCAGGATGAAGATAGCTGATTTCCTTATGAAAAGTGTTAAAGTGGTTAATGATGAAGTTAAAAAAAATCTATTGTTTTCGTAGCCAACAGATTCAATTACTGGAGTAGCATTGATCTATTGAATACATGCTGAATTATATGGCCAAAACGGTAGGGTGTCTGTCAAAAGATAGTAGTTCACAAACTGTGGTCAGACTGAGGAATTTTACAGAGGTGTATGAGATAGTACATACTGTAAAACAAGTAGGTTTGGAACACAGATTTAACTGAACTATGGGAGAAGGCCAATGTGCAAACTACTAAATGACACACGAAGAATGATTGATACATTGCATAGACTTCTGGGTAATATACTGGAGACAATTACCCTGGACGTATTTGACAAAAGTTAAATACTTTGAGAGCAGACTGCAGGGTCTGATAGATAACCTAAGGTGAGCCTTATTTATATCTATTGGTGTCAAATTTCCTTAGCTAACTCTCCTGTGAAGTGCTTATAAAGGGATGTTTTATTATATTAAAGTTGCTACAAAAAACACATTGTTTTTCTGCTTTTGTGAAAAATAAGCTTATTAATCACATTAGTAAATAACGTTTGCCCTTCAGAAAACCGGAGAAGGAAATCAGGCAATGACAACATCATGGAAGAGAACAGTTCAAAAAGACTGCGATGGAATGATGCAAGTATGATATTTCTAATTGTTTAATGGAATTAAATAGTTAAACATAATATATGCAAGAACCTGGATTATGGGGTTATAATCATGACGATATGGGTAATTTCTGTGACATTCCAAACTATAAGAACTTTGTCTGTCAACTCATAAGAAGCCCTGATTACTTTAAACCTGAAATGTACTTCCATACACTTATTACACCTACTTCCAGTGATCTTGCTGAGATAGCTTAGAGTAGAACTGCAGGAACATAAATCTTGTTATCCAAAGGGATCTGGAGATATTTTGTGGGTCCTCCAAGAATAGATAGGTCAGGTGAATTAATTAGGTAGGAACTGAAATTTTCCTTTCGTGGCCATGGGTAAAATAATTAGAGATTAACTCAGTCCCATGCTTGCACGGTCAGGCTGAACACCATCCACTGCAAGATCCTATTGTAATCTCTTTGATGCCATTAAAACTTATTGTATTAAAACATTTTGTAATTGCATCCTAATTTCTTGTTAGTGGAGTATGAGACTCTCTGGGCACCTATTTCATTGTCATTTAAATGTTAACATGCACCAGTTGGCTTTGTGCAGCTGCGTGTAAGGTCAGCAGTTTTCCTTGTCTACTGTATGGCACAAGGGATGGGAGGAGATGAATGCTGCTATATAGCACTTTAGGACAGACATGGGTGCATCCCTGGTGAGAGGGGTGATGTAGGTGTGGAAGGACTTGAAGGATTGGAGAGGGATTGAAGGGAGGACAACGGATGGGTTTGGGACATGGAAAAGTGAAGTAGGAAGGACTAGGGTGTTAGGAACAATCAATCAAGGTAAGAAAATGAAGGGTTTACCATGCAGTGTCAATATTGTGGGTCCATCTCAGGGTTTTGGCTGACAGAGCCCTTCCAGGACTTTGAGATCACCTACAGTGCATTAGTTATGCCACTGAAAGTGATCTTGGATAATGTCCATTTCAAACTTAGAAGCGAGGGAATGCCCCACAGAATGGAGAATACAACACTGGACACTTACATGAAGTATTCAATTAAGAGTGAAAGCAAAAACACAAGATCATTTCTTCTAAAATAAAGAAAGTATCCCTAACTCCCCTGTAACCATTAGCATGTGCCAACCATGAGGTATGCCAGTACTCTGCTCAGCTGCTCTCAGCAAAAAATAAAAATATGCACATGAATAAAGTGAAGCAATTATAATATATTGTAAAGTTACATGTGAAAGTTAAATTTGAAAATACGGATGTCAGCTTTGTGTTTTCAGTAAGTCTTATATTAATGGCAATGGAGTTGGGCAGGAAAGCTGTGGGTGTGATGCAGAGCCTTCCAGTTTGACCAGGAGGCTACATTGTCAGCTGATAGCAGGCTTCATCATTGAAGAGCTTTGCCTTGCCATGTGATCACACTAGTTGCCCATGCACACCACTTGCACTTTAAATCTTTATTGCAACCTGGTGAAAACTAACAAAAAGCAAGAAAATGGAAGCAGCATACAGTTCCTGTTCTTTCACTGGGAACAGCACACAGTCATTAAAATCCTGTGTCTTCTATTTCACCTCCAACTTCCTGTGATGCATTCAATTCATCTCCAACACATGAGTCCAGCAATTTCTTGAAACTCATGGTAATGTTGAAGCTGATCACCCATTTTTGTGAGGCTCACAAGAGAGAGTGACAGAAATCATACAGTAACTTTGGCAATTCACAATTCATGGCACATTTTCTTCTGGTCACAAATTTCTGAGATTTTCACTTTTTTTCAGTAATCTGTGCTACTATCATGCAATTAATGCAACATGCACTAGAGGGCAACATGTCATTGATCTGTGCTAATAGAACACTTGGCATTGACAGTTGTTTGCTTTCATCATGGAGCTTAATCTTTGGATTCGGGTTCTAAGTAATTAACAGAGAATGATATATTATGATAAGAAATGTTAAGCTTACACCAGGAAAGAAGGAAGAAAGCCTCATTTAAATGGTGACTTTTATGTTCACAGTTTTTCTAAAGCAACATAAAACATAGAACAGTACAGCACAGTACAGGCCCTGCGGCCCACGAAGTTGTGCCGAACTTTTACCCTAAACGTAAGGTCTATCTAACCTCCACCCCTACCTTATACTATCATCCATATGCCTATCTAATAGCCGCTTAAATGCCCCTAATGTGGCCGACTCCACTACCCTCTCTGGCAATGCATTCCATGCCCCTACCACTATCTGAGTAAAGAACCTACCTCTGACTTCTCCCCTATATCTACCTCCACTCACTTTAAAACTATGTCCCCTCATAATAGCTACCTCCACCCTAGGAAAAAGTCTCTGGCTGTCCACCCTATCTATACCTCTGATCATTTTGTACACCTCTATCAAGTCACCTCTCATCCTTCGTCGTTCTAAAGAGAAAAGCCCTAGCTCTCTCAACCTTTCCTCATAAGACCTTCCCTCCATTCCAGGCAACATCCTGGTAAATCTCCTTTGCACCTTTTCCAACGCCGCCACATCTTTCCTGTAATGAGGCGACCAGAACTGGACACAATACTCCAGATGTGGCCGAACCAGGCTTTGGTATAGCTGGAGCATAACTTCACGGCTCTTGAACTCGATCCCTCTATTAATGAAAGCTAACACACCATACGCCTTCTTAACAACTCTATCCACCTGGGTGGCAGCTTTCAGGGAACTGTGAACATGAACCCCAAGATCCCTCTGCTCCTCCACACTGCCAAGAATCTTTCCATTAACCCTGTATTCTGCTTTTAAGTTTGCCCTTCCAAAATGAATCACCTCACACTTTTCATGGTTGAACGCCATCTCCCACTTCTCAGCCCAGCTCTGCATCCTATCAATGTCCCTTTGTAACCTAGAAAAGCCCTCCGACCCACCTTCGTAACGTCCGTGAACTTACTAATCCACCCTTCCATTCCTTCATCCAAATCATTTACAAAAATCACAAATAGAAGAGGACCCAGGACAGATCCTTGTGGTACACCACTCGTAACTGAGCACCATGTTGAATATTTTCCATCCACTACCACCCTTTGTCTTCTAAGGGTCAGCCAATTCTGAATCCAATCTGCCATATTTCCCCCTATCCCATGCCTCCTTACTTTCTGCATGAGCCTACCATGGGGAACCTTATCAAACGCCTTACTTAAATCCATGTATAACATATCCACTGCCCTACCTTCGTCCATGTATTTGGTCACCTCTTCAAAGAATTCAATAAGGTTTGTGAGGCATGATCTACCCCTCACAAATCCATGCTGACTATCACGAATCAAACTGTGCCTTTCCAAGTGATCATAAATCCTATCTCTCAGAGCCCTTTCCAATAATTTGCCCACCACTGATGTAAGACTAACTGGCCTGTAATTTCCGGGGTTATCCCTATTCCCTTTTTTGAACAAGGGAATGACGTTTGCCTCTCTCCAATCTTCCGGCACTATGTCCGTGGACAGTGAGGACGAAAAGATCATCGCCAAAGGCCCTGCGATCTCTTCCCTCGCTTCCCATAGAATCCTTGGATAAATCCCATCAGGCCCATGGGACTTATCTATCTTCAACTTCCTCAAAATTCCTAGCACATCTCCCTTACAAACATCCACCTCCTCTAGCCTACCAGCCTGTTTCACACTGTCCTCCTCTACAACTAGGTCCCTCTCAGTTGTGAATACCGAAGAAAAGTATTCATTAAGGACCTCTCCTATCTCTTTAGGCTCCGTGCACAAATTCCCTTTTCAGTCCTTGATCAGCCCTACCCTTTCTCTGATCATTCTTTTATTCCTCATGTACGTGTAAAAAGCCTTGGAGTTTTCCTTGATCCTATCTGCCAAGGTTTTCTCATGCCCCCTTATAGCTCTCCTAAGCTCTTTCTTCAGCTCCATCCTAGATAACTTGTATCCCTGTGGAGCCTTTTCCGTTCCTTGTTTCCTAAACTTTACATAAGCATCCTTCTTCCTCTTAACCAGTCATTCGACCTCTCTTGAGAACCAAGGCTCCCTCACTCGACCGCATCTTCCCTGCCTGCTAGGGACAAACATATCGAGCACACGCAGTATGCATTCCTTAAACAATCTCCACATTTCAGTAGTGCTCTTCCCTGACAGCATCTGTTCCCAATTTATGTTACCCAGTTCTTGCCTAACAGAATTGTAATTACCCTTCTCCCAATTATAAACCTCACCCTGCTGTATGTACCTATCCTTTTCCATGACTATTGTAAAAGTAACAGAGTTATGATCGCTACTGCCAAAATGCTCACCTACCAACAGGTCTAACACTTGGCCTGGTTCATTGCCAATCACCAAATCCAAAGTGGCCTCTCCTCGTGTTGGTCTATGCCCGTACTGTGTCAGGAATCCTTCCTGAACGCATTGGACAAAATCTGCTCCATCTAAACTATTACAACTAAAATGTTTACAATCAATATTTGGAAAGTTGAAGTCACCCACGACTACAGCCCTGTGACTTCTGCACCTTTCCAGTATCTGCCTCCCAATCCCCTCCTCTACTTCTCTGCAACTATTAGGGGGTCTGTAAAAAGAAACCCCAACAAAGTGACTGCACCTTTCTTGTTCTGGACCTCAACCCAAACTGACACTGTAGACATATCATTCTCGAACTGCCTTTCAGTAGCTGCTATACTATCCCTGACTAGCAATGCCACTCCCCCACCTCTTTTTCCACTCTCCCTATTTCTTTTAAAGCATCTAAAACCTGGAATTTCCAACAACCATTCCTCTCCCTGAGTTACCCAAGTTTCTGTAATGGCCACAACATCGTAGTTCCAAGTACTGACCCATGCTCTAAGTTCATCTGCCTTATTTCTGATACTTCTAGCATTGAAGAATACACACCTCAAACCATCTCTGTGTCCACAATTATGTTCCATCGACCGCATTTCTTTATTAACAACCTCACTCCCTGTTGTGTCTGTTGGAAGGCTGCATACCTCATCCTCTGAATTATAAATCTGCTTCCCCACCCCCTGCCAATCTAGTTTAAACCATCCCGTATAGCTCGAGCAAACCTCCCTCCCAGGATATTTGTGCCCTTCCGGTTCAGGTGCAACCCGTCCTTACTGTACAGGTCCCACCTTCCCAGAATGTGCTCCAATTCTCCACATAATGGAAGCCCTCCCTCCTACACCAGCCCTGTAGCCACGCGTTTAGCTGCACTGTCTCCCTATTTCTTACCTCGTTATCACATGGCACTGGTAGTAATCCAGAGATAACTACCCTGTTTGTCCTGGACTTCAGCTTCCAACCCAACTCCCTGTACTCGTTTTTCATATTCTCAGTCCATCTTCTACCTAAGTCATTGGTCCCGATGTGTACCATGACTGCTGGTTGCTCACCCTCCCCCTTAAGGATCTTGAATTCACGATCCGAGACATCATGGACCCTGGCACCCGGGAGGCAACATACCATCCTTTCATCTCGTTCGCGTCCACAGAACCGCCTGTCTGTGCCTCTTACTATCGAATCCCCCACTACAATTGCTCTCCTATTCTCCCCCCTTCCCTTCTGTGCCACAGGGCCAGGCTCAGTGCCAGAGACCTGTCCGCTATGGCGTTCCCCTGGTAGGTCGTCCCCCCCAACAGTATCCAAGATGGTATACTTATTATTGAGGGGAACGGCCACAGGGGATCCCTGCACTGTCTGCCTATTCCCTTACCCCTTCCTGACAGTCACCCAGCTACCTTTTTCCTGTACCTTGGGTGTGACCACCTCCCTATAACTCCTCTCTATCACCCCCTCAGCCTCCCGAATGATCCGGAGTTCATCCAGCTCCAGCTCCAGTTCCCTAACACGGTTTGTGAGGAGCTGGAGTTGGGTGCACTTCTCGCAGGTGAAGTCAGAGGGGACACCAGCAGTGACCCTTACCTCCCACATCCTGCAAGAGGAGCATGCAACTGCCCTAGCTTCCATTCCCTCTACTCTATATTTCCAGAAGAATTAAAAAAAAGCCTTACCTTACCGACCCTCCACACAGTCTTTTTTTTTGGTTAGAGGAGGAGGATGGGTGGGAGACATTACACGTGTAGTGTTTCGGGTTTAGCCAATGCCCAAATATATCAGTTCCTTCCTGGCTCGCGTTGTCTCCACACACCCGCCGCTAAAACAAGAGGGCCTCTGCTGTACGAGGTAAGTTTTTATACTGGAGAAAAAAACAACCTTACCTTCCTGTCGGCACTCTGGCTCGCACTGCTGCCACTGAAAACAAGACATGTTCGTTTTGAAGTACAATCAAATTTGTTTTCTAGGGAAATAATTCCCCAAGGAAAGTTGAATTGACACCATTTTGACCTCTTGCTTATTCCCAGAGCTTCAGCCACTGAGAGCAAGTTGGAAGCTCAACATTCTATGATTCTAGAATTGTAGAACAGCATAGTACAGGCAGAGCCTATTCTGCCCATTGAGTCTGTGCTATTTCCTTTTCAAAGAGCAATCCACTTCGTCAGACTCCTTTGCTCTTTCCTCACATTCCTGTATCTATTTTTTTTCTTTTTCAGGTGTGTAACTAGTTCTATTTGAAAGTCTATGATTGAATCAACATCCGCCTCCCAATCAGACTGTACATTCCAAATCCTTGTCTCATGTCCTGTCTAGTTCTTTTGCCAAGCACATTAAATTTAAGTCCTCTGGTTATTGACCCTTCAACTTTTGGAAACATTTATTCTGTATTTATTCTACTTAAACCCTTCCTGGTTTTAAACAGCTCCATCAAATCTCTGCCCAGCCTTGAGTTCCCATGAAAAACACGAAAATAAAGAGGTTAAACACGACTTCTAAATTAGGAAATAAGGAAAAGGCAGATAAAGTTATCAGCAAAGGCAGTTTTTTTGGAATGATGCAATTTGCCTAAAGAACTCGAAGCAGCAATCTTTCCTATCAGGGATTTCTGATTGAGTGGCCAAAGTATAAAACTAATTGTTCTACTGTATTGTGTGCAGATTGGATATGTTTTTCTATTATTGTAGTCATTTGATTTGATTTATCTATAAGCATGAATGGAGCAGACCTTTAATATGCCGCAAATCCATTTGAATAGGCAACAGCAATCGATTTGTAACATGCTGCAAATTGATATGTTGCTGTAAATACCCTTCTGTGTTGACCATGGCTGCCTGTTTACCTCATAAATTCATAGCAGACTTAAAAGCAGTTTCTTACAAGGTATAGCATCAAACATAAACTGCTAGCAAACAAATGAGGGCAGCCCCAGGATTGATGCCCTACTCCGTGATGAACTGTTTGATCTCTGAGGGTGGACTAGGCTACAAAGGGATTCATTGTCATTGAACTAGAGAATGGATGTAATCATATCTCCCTGGTGGAAAGCGTATGTATGTATATCAGGAGAGGACAGCAAAAGGGTGGATGTGATCGAATTAAACCATCTACTGATATTTGAAGTTTTGGTTTGTGCATGAGGACTGGTTACTTGGAGGTGCTGGAGAGTGACTGGTACCTGTGGAACCACTTCTTAATCTGAGTCAATACATCTAGGAAAAGCAAAGCAAAATGAATTATAAAAACCCTGCTAATTTCTTAATCACTTTAATTGATGAGGACCTGTTTATTGTTAAATCAAATGAGAACGGTAGGCAGCACGATTCATAAGCGTATAGTTGGCAGATTCTATCCAAGATTATAGGATAGGTTGACTCTCTTAATCAAGTGGGTTTTGGATGTTAAAGTGTGAAAAAAAAATCTGAATCCCAAATCAAACCCATCTGTAATCCTGGGATAGTAGGAACTGCAGATGCTGGAGAATCTGAGATAACAAGGTGTAGAGCTGGATGAACACAGCAAGCCAAGCAGCATCTTCTATGATGCTACTTGGCCTGCTGTGTTCATCCAGCTCTACACCTTACCATCTGTAATCCTGCCTGTTCCTGATTTAATGGAGCCTGTGATGGGGCCTGTCAAATGGGCTACCAACAACAACTCGCTCTCAGGGGCTGAGCTGATAATTTGTAAATAATGTAATGAAGCTGCATGCTTGACATTTAACCCACGTGTTAAACTTAATGGCGGCCAGTTGAGTTTCCCTTTGAAATTGTTTGGCTAAACGGAAGCAAGAACTCATGGATCAAAGAAGTATACACCTTTCCACTAAGCCTGCTAATTCAGTTTAGCTTCTTCATCCACCTTTCATGATCAGAGATTATCTTTAGTACCTGTAGGCCTTTCTGATCTCCTTGACCAACCACCTTTCTGATCTCCAACTCTATTCTTGTGGTCCCTTATTCCCACCAATTCTTCCAATTTCATCCATCCCCAAATAATTCTAATCTCCTCAGCCCCCATCACCTTAACTCTTACAGTCCACACATCCCTGCACCTGACTTTTCCTTTGGCTTTGATCACCATCAGTCCAGACTCTGTTCCCTCCTCTAGCATCAAATGAATCTTCTGACCTCCAATTTGTCCCCACCTCCAACTTACAGTCTTCCCTGTGGCTCAACACAACCCCAACCCCACACCTTTCTGATTACCTTCATGGTCCCTAGCTGTGGCCTGGTGTTAAAGCTTTTATTTCACAGTTAAACAAATGCCTTAAAACACTCATGCGCCTGAAACTTGTAAATGGTTTTGTAAAGCATTAACAGATTTAGACTATATTTGCTTTGCATGTCAACAATTTAAAAAACAGTTCAAACTAAGATGCAATATTTAATCACTAATCCAATGACATGACATATTTTATAATTTTCCACACTGTGGTACCCAATTGCTTTAATATAATTTAATAATAAAGTCAAATATATCTTGAATTAATCTTGAACTCAGGTACCAGCAAGTTACACCTGGTTTACTATACAATTATAAAAATACTTCTTAGCAATTTACTGAAGCTTTGCAAATGATTCTAATGTTGCTAATGCATTTTAATGTATTTTTGCAGCTGATGGACCACCATGCAATAAGAATAATATTATCACTGAGAAGCAGTTAATGCAACTTGCTGAAAAACTGGGGAGCAATTGGCAAATCTTTGCAATTAGTTGCCTTGATCTGCAATCCCAAGATATTGATAAAATTAAGGACCAAAATGCACCACCGACAATGCAAATATTCTACATGTTGCAAAAATGGAAAAATAAGGAATTGGACAATGCAACACCTTCCAATCTTCGAGAAAAACTCATAGATGCGAATATTGATCCTGATGCCAGGAATCTCCTGGAAGGTACAGCGAAATGTATTTTTATTAATGGATTCATTGGGATGTTCTAGAAAAAATGCAGATATACTTTCCAGTGTTGTTCATTAAAGAAAGAAAATGACTGGAGTGGGCATTAGAACTGGCAGGAAAACGGGCAAACTGCTACAGTTGCTAGTTTTATCCTTTACAATTCTGTTCCTTATTTTCTGTCCCAAAAATGCAATGTTAAAATTCCTTTTAAAATTTACTGTTGTTTGTTAAGCCAACATTATTACAATTTGAGACAAACATGGGATTTTAAAATTCTCCCCTGCAGTTGCCTCATTATCTCAGTTGGAGTTAACTCATCAGTGGAACAGCTAAACTCTCACAATGTTTTCTGATTGTTGTATCTAGTGCAGTCCTCATTGGGAAGGGTCTGTCTGAAGGGAACGGTCCCACTGTGTCCAATGTTCCCTTCTAACTAATGACCATGGGATTTATAAACTATGCTGCTAATGAGCACCTCAATCAGTTAAAAACTAAACTCAGGAACATATTACAGAGATGAGTTTAAACTGTTGAAAGCCCCAAGTGCAATGATTACCTCTACATGGAACGTGTTTAATACTGACCATTACAAATACTAGGAGCAGATGTAACCAAGAAATTTATATACAGGCTTAATTTACAATACAGTCTACACAACAGATAACATGGACATTTTTTAAAATTTGTACTGTTCTTGTCTCTGTTCCAAGTATCAAAATGGAGAGGTTGATTACATAAATAAATGCCAGTAGTTTGGCTCTGAGTTGATCGGAATTAAGTCAGTCATTCATAACCCTGAAACAGCCTAGCCAGTTAATCAAACTGTAAAAATTTGTAACTCAGCTTAATTTTCTAGTTTCCCCATTGTACAGCGCTGTATAACTGCTCTTGATCTTGACTTGACTCCTCAAATGGACGAGACATGAAATCAGAATTAGTGCAGACAGGCCCTGATAGACCAGAATTTCACTGGGAAGGTGGACAACTGCTTATTGAGCTAATACACCAGTGGAAAATAGTTAGAATTTCTCTTCATAGTCATTTAAATGAAAGTTGAATAGGAAAAATTAAAACTCTTCATTTTCACAATTAAAAATATCTCCTGCAGAGATAATAACACTAATCATTTACAATTGGTGCATGAAGGCAGAATGATATTTTGTTGGGAATTGCAGGATTCATAACCTGCATTGAACACAGCACACACAGTTGAGCTTGGAGCTTATTTCTGCTCAAATCTATATTCCCACCCACACAGAAACCTTTCACCACCTTGCTTAACAAAAATCTGTCTACTTTTGCCTTAAAAATATTCCAGGACTCTGTTTCAGGGAGAGCATTCCAAAGATTTGCAACTTACTGAGAGGATTTCTTTTACCTCATCTTTGTTTTAAATGGGCAACCTCTGATTTCTGAAGTAATCCCGATTTGTAGATTCTCTCAGAAGAAGGATCATTCTTTCCACCTTTACCCTGTCAAGACCTCTCAGGATTTTAGGTGTCTCAATCAATATCTTTCAATTCTTATTTCTCTTCAGGCTAGCCTGTCCAACTTTTCCTCATATATTCTGTTTCTCCTGTTCAGGAGGACAGATTAAGAGCTAAAATCATGAATTTAAAATATATGGATGGACCAGGAGTTTCTACTTGTTTGCATTTGTCCAAAATCCTGAATCCGGTGTAAAAGCTTGTGGAATTTCAAGCACAAATTACTTTCATTACAATTCGGTTTCAATATTCTTTTGTATTCATTTAGAAAACATCCTGCCAGATTTCTTCCCTGCACACAAACGAGCCACACCACAGAACAAAATGGCATTTTAGGATCAAGACATTTTCGGCAATACTACTGAAACTGGCTAATGGGCAGAGAACAGCGAGTGGTGGTCAGGGATTCTTTTTTCAGGTTGGCAACCAGTAACCAGTGGGGCTGCACAGGGATCAGTGCAAGGACTACAACTGTTCATAATATATATATTAATGACTTGGAGGAAGGAAGCGAATGTACTGTAGCCAAATTTGCAGACAGAACAAAAGTAGTGGAGAGGCAAGTTGCAAGAATGTTACAGTTTACTGAGAGATATTGACAGGTTAAGTAAGTGGGAAAGAAATTGGCAAAGGGGTGTACAGTATGGGCAAATGTGACATTGTTCATTTAAGAAGAGAAAACAAAAGAACATAATTATTTAAACAGAGAAAAACTGCATAAAGCTGCAACACGAAGGGACCTGGGGTAATCTTGCATGGAATCCAGAAAGCTAGCACCTACGCACAACAGATATTCAAGAAACTGCATGGAATGTTAGTCCTTATTTCAAGGGAGTTGGAGTATAAGTGTAGGGAAATGTTACTGCAACTGTACAGGGTGCTGGTGAGACCACGTCTGCAGTACTGTGAGCAGTTTTGGTCCCCTCATTTAAGGAAAAATATAATTTCATTGGAAGCAATTCAAAGAAGGTTCACTTAGATGATTCCTGGTCAGGAGGGACTATCATATGTGCAAAGGCTGGGACTCTACTCGTCGCAGTTTAGAAGAATGACAGGTGTTCTCATTGAAATATACAGGATTTATAAGGAGCTTTACATGGTAAATGCTGAGAGAATATTTCCCCTCATGAGAGAGTCTAGGACCAGAGGCAATATTCTCAGAAAAAGGGGCACCGATTTAAGGCTGAGGTGAGAAGGAACTTCTTCTCTGTTGAAAATCTTTGCAACTTACCACAGAGAGTTCTTGTGGTATTTTAAGGCTGACATAGACAGATTGTTGATCAGAAGGGGAATCAAGGGTTATGGGAAAACACAGGAAAGTAGATGTGAGGAATGTTGGGTTAGCCTAATGAATGGTGGAGCAGGTTCGAGGGGCTGAACAGCCTACTCCTGTTCCATTTTTTATGGTCTCATGGTCTATATCAAGTTATTGCTTTCAACTTTTAATTGTTATATCTACTATGAACCAGCACAATCAATGTTTTAGAACAAAATTTTAACTAATTAATTAGTTACTTTAAAAAAATGATGTTCTAAAATACTGAATGTGCTGGTTCATAGCAGATATGACAATTAGCGATATGTGATTGATTTTTATCAGAAACCGAAAAAAAACTTCCTGAAACTAGTTACATTTTTAATTTGTACCTAACTTGTGTCAGAATGCAAATTATATCCCAAAGTTAAATTCTTTCTCTTCTTAGAACTTTTATACACGAGACAGTTGAAAACAATATTAATGAGAATATTATCATAGACTCAATAGTAATCAAATTATCAAGAGACTTAAAATGCCTTGCAAATTTCTTGAATTAAATTGATTGAATTTTAAGCAGGAGTGTTAGTCCTGAATTTCCACAGGAATTGTCTCCATTTCCCATCATAGTTTTAGTACAGTGAGAATGGTGAGGCCCTCAAGTAATGGCTGATTCCACCCATTTACAGCATTTCTCCAAAGCTTCTGTTTGCCTCCTATCAGAGTTAGCAAAGGAGATTGGGTGAGCTGACTTAATCGCTGTACAAGTGGGATGGGTTTTGAGTGAATTAAAATCTCACCCATTGTGTTCTAACTATTTATTGCAAAACATAGTTGAACTGGACTATGGCTATAATTTTAAATGCATTTATCCAGAATCTCTGTACCATTAGTTTATGATCCAGGTTGATTTAAAATACAGTGGGAATCTCCTTACGCATTTGTTCAAGTCTGCCTTTTTGTTGTTTTCTTTATTTATCATTATTTTGTTTTTGTTGTCCTTCCCCAGGTTTCTGTAATCCATAAAGTTGTATGAAGAACATGATGAGCAGACTATGTGAGGAAACATCTTTAAGAACCAGGATGTAAACTCTGCCACAATCAGTTGCGGTTTGCTTATTTGCAAGTTACATTTTTACATTGTCCAGTTTGTAAAAAAAGCAAAAATTTTGATGAAAATGTAATTTTACACTATTATCTGAACTAAGCAACTCAATGAAATTGGCACATGTAGATATTTCTGCCTTCAAAATGTAGAACTTTGCCTATCTCTTACACGCAATAAGCATCACTTGAATATAATGTAAAGTTTTCTAGATTCTTAAAAAGAAAAATCTAGTGTAAATTGTGGTCATAAAATGTGGAACATTTATACAAAGTTTTGAGTACTTGGAGCCTACTTTTATATATATTTAGAATTACAGTTGCATAGAATAATGTTTTTTCACAGGATAATTACAACAAATCAACTTTTCTATGAAGCAGTAATTTCTTCCTTTCTAATTCAAGCCTGGGCAAACTATGACCTACAGACCAAATGCAGCCCTGGGGACATTGTTGAGTTGGTTTTGGCATTTCCTTACCAAGTAGATCACTTGGGGTGCCTGAAACACACATTTTTCCCTTATAAGGTGTGCGCTTGCCTGGGAGAAATGTCTAACATGGTGCAAGTGGTATCATTAAACATTCTAAAGACAGAAATAGATCTTGTCAGCCAAGGCAATCAAATGTAATTGGGGATTGATGGGAATAAAGAATTTGATATACATTAGCCATGATCTTATTGAATGGTGGAGCAAGCTCAAGGAGCTGATTGGTTTACTTTTGCTCCTATATTTTATGTTCTGAAGTCTTTTTCTTCAAGAATGCCTGAAATACTTGCAACCCCGTTGTGGGTTGGTTAATATTCAGGCATCGCTGGTGCTTAACCTTGTCTTTTTGAAGACTTTCAGAAAAAATGTTGGTGTTCAGTAGACCTGGAAACAGTTTATTTTTCAGATAACATAGTAATCCTAAAAAGGACTTCTGGGTGCTATCACCAAAATGAGGCAAATACTGTTTGTAAACTTAACATTATACATAGCCACTGGGGTCAATTAAACACAGGCAGCAAGGTGGTGAATGGGTAATTCGCCAAGCATTTGTTTCCTTGGTCTAGTGGTGATATAACCAAATCAATAATTGTTTGGGAGGTGTGATACTGAGCTCCGTTTCTCTAGTTTACCCAGGTAATGGCTTAATAAATTCATGCACAATTCCCTTACTTTCTACAATACAGAAATTCACAGATGTAATTGCTCTGGTTTGAAGCTGATGGCTTTAAAATTCAAATATTAGTAAAAGGAGGAAGAAATCTAGGTTATGTAGGCATATCTTTTATTGCATAGTAAGTAATCTACCAGCCAATGATGGGTTAGAGACAAACATCTTTGCTCTGCTTTGCCTTACTACCTCATTTAAATTAAAGGCTCACAGTACTTCTCCTGTTTACTGCAAACACAAAGCCAGGCAGCTTGTCGCGTTTATCAGCAGCAATCAGTAAGGGAGTAGGCTTGTTGCTGTATGGCACCGTGCTTACTAATGTCAAAGCTACAGCTTGTACCAGCAGCTTATGTGACAAACACACTATATGTGCTTTACCATTTCTCGAGATCTAAGGAGAGTAGTCCCCCAGTCAAGTCAAAGCGACAATTGTCTGTCAGGGGGTCCCACTACAGTCAGTCAAGAACAGCGTCCGATACTGGTCCAGGAGTTCGAACGTGGTCAATCGACCTCTTGGGAAAGTCAGGATCAGGGTTCCATATCACTCCAGTCTGGGGAGTGGAGCAAGATAAGTCTTGCCATTTAACAGCAACCATTCTGGGATAAGTCAGTCACATATCTGCACAGTGATCGGTCACAGATCTGCACAGTGATCAGTCACAGAGCTTCACAGAGATCGGTCAGTGATCTGCACAGAGATCGGTCACAGATCTGCACGGTGATCAGTCAGAGATCTGCACACTGATCAGTCACAGATCTGTACAGTGATCGGTCAGGGAACTGTACAGTGATCGGTCAGGGAACTGCACAGTGATCAGTCAGAGAACTGTACAGTGATCAGTCACAGAGCTGCACAGTGATCTGTCACAGAGCAGCACAGAGATCGATCAGAGATCTGCACAGAGATCAGTCACAGATCTGCACAGTG